GGCCACCGTAACGATTACAAAAGCTGACGTTTCGAGCGTTAGCCCTTCGTCGGAGCGAATAGAGGAATTGTGGGTTGTGTGTGCTTTTAAAGGTAGAAAATGTTAAATGAAAAGTTGTTTCGCTTGATTAACAGGAATCGAGACAGACAGCTTGTAGTGCTTCTGTGACAAAGAGACTCACAAGCTGATGAAGATCTTCTAAAGCATTGGTGACCGCTTGTTCCTCTGGAGGCTGCAATGCTCTGGACAGAAAAGGTCGGATCATACCCAGTTTAAGAATCTACCAAAAAGAAATGGATTACCTCAATATCTAACTTTAAAAGTCAACCTGTTCAAAAGGAATAGCAATCATACTTGGGAGACTAGAGAACCACCAGATTCGCATTCAGACCTTAACTTATCTATCCACTAAAATGGTAAAAAATGATACTTCAGACGTTAATGCCAGTAACTGTCTGAAACAAAGATCAACTGTACCTTAATCTGCAGGCACAATTCCTCAAGAGGTGTCCGAAGCATCTCTGGCAGCTGATAGTCGTCAAGGGACTGGGCACGGAATTGTGTGAACAAATGAAAGCAGTATCCAGGCTGTACTCTGTTGACATACATCAATACAGGAACTGTTTTTTAATTTTGTATTTGTTAGTCGGTCTCCTCATTTTCATAAAGGGACTACCTTTCTTAAAATAATCTTTGACAGAACGCACCAAAAAATACGCGTTAAAAGCTTTCTTCAGCTAACGAAATAAAATTTGTGCAAAACTGACCAAAAGTCAATGTTGAATAAACTGACTATACCTCATTTGGTTTCCTTCCGAACATTAACACCTGGTCTGTGTTTTGAAGACCTATTTTCATGGTGCTAATTATTTATATGCAACAATAAGAATATGTGGGAAAAAATTAATGGACCTCGGACAAAACAGGTGTCATTGTACACCCCTTCCCTCCATGAGTGCCACCTCTCTACGGGGTCCATTTTCCGCTGTCCCCAATATGACCACTGTTGGGAAGATCCACTCTCTTTTTGAGGTCGCAACTTTGGAGTCTTTACTACGGGAATTTTAAAGAATTATCCTGGATTGTACTGTCATTACCTTCCAGCTCGACCACGTCTTTGTCTCGAGGAGGCTTTACTGATCCATACAGGCTGTAAACAGGCTACTTTGTGGAACATATCATACGTCTGACCAAATAGAAAAAAAAAGTTTTATCGATTGTGAATATACATATATCAGTGCGCTAAATGTTGCCACAATCACAACTGTCACATTGTCTGCTTGTTCTGTTCGCTTCCGTTTCGATTGACATAACTGATTGGTAAGTTTGGCAAATTAACCTCGCCCATCGCATGTTCTACAAGTTTTGTTGATATTTGGACAAGGAAAAAATCCCCAATTCCCGTTAAGGAATCAATACTACAGGTTGGTTGCTCCACCACTGAACCACCGAATAATAAACCATAAGTCATTATGAGTTGCTAAACCGCTTGGTACGTTACCTTTTCTTTCACCTTGCCAGCATCCACAACAAACACCACATCATCAATTGTGATACTACAAATGGAACAACAGCCAAGATGAAAATCTTTCAAATATAATCCAAACATTTCAATTTTCATTTGATGGATAGAGACGCACAAAAGTTCAAAAACTGAAACAAAAAAAAAATGAAACTAGGACACGATGAAAACAGATCATTACAGGGGCACATCCCAGGTAGGGGGGAAGGGATAGGTGTAAACTACCTGCAACCGACCTACGCATGCTTCCCCAGGCCACCCCTTCCCACTCAGACTATAGACGTATAATCTGCTAACACTGATAAATAGGCCAGTTAAGTAATAATATGCCATCTTGTTGTTGCAGGAATTTTGGTTTCAGACACGTAATAAAAACCCCACAGGTATGATTGGGGAGGGGGGCCCTGACCCCCAAACCTTCCCCTGAATCTGCCACTATATCACAAACGGAACTTAGCTGGTACGCGGTGCTCCCCTCAACAATGACTCGAAAACAGCTCTATGATACTGCCAATCAAGTTCTTGTCAATACCTTGTTTCAGCAATATTCGTGGCAATTACTATCTTCCTGACACCTTCGGGTGGGCGGTCAAATACCTAACGAAAACAACATTGACAGATCAGTGTTGAAGCAAAGGAGTTGACCGGGCTTTGCCACTAAAGTAACCTCAACATGGTTTCCATTAGAGCACCTTTTGACTAAGTAGGTAAAATGAAAACCCAACTAAGCTCCTTAGGGCACTGAGTGGCCAAACAGAAAATTGGGAAAAAAGTGAAAAGTAAACGACAGATGCAGCAAACTGCTGAAAGCGCAAGAAACGCTAGTAACAAGGCATAATTGGTTTTACCTCTACATCTTTAAGAAGATGGTGAGAGTTTTCCCGACGATTCACAGAATGCAAATCAAGACTTAAAACATGCGAAACTAAACCTTATCCACTGCCGGCGGCATTCAGCCAACGTAAAACCCTCCAGCTAACATATTATTTGTCCCAACTGATCCTATACACGGTCAAGACGACGAAAGACTAGGAAGGGAACATGTGTCCTTGATCTCGAGCCTATTCCATCAAGTAAATTAGGGTAAGTCCGTTCTTATTATTGGTCTTACCTCTCGTTGGTTTGTTGACGGCATCATAGAGTGTAAAGGAATGATAAGGAATTTATCTGCAAATAAACAAGAACAAAGATTTGAAGACATAAATGAGTGTTACAACGCACAAACAAGAAATAGGCGCAGCTAGTTCTCTAGAAGGATTAAAACCAGTAACATCAATAGCAAAGAAGAACAAAAGGAAATAGACTGGAAACGGATCAGAATAAGTAAATCTCTACTTTACCTGAATTAAAAAGCGTTTGGCTTTTCAACCTGTCGTGAAGTTTACTAATATCATCCCAGCCAGGTAGAAAAACGAGTATAGCTCCCTTCTAAAAACCAGAAATGATAAAATTCATTTGACTTAAATCTTTACTTTAAAGCTGTTGCTTAAAACAAATAATAAGCTAGTTGACATTGTAAGTAGCCCGAAGTTCAATTTAGGTCTTTGGTAGAGGGGCAACGTCAGAGTGTTTTAAGTAATCTTTTGCTCTGTTTAATACAACCCTCGACTTGTTGGAAACTACAAAATATGAGTTTGGTAACACGGGAAAAACTGAAACACTCACAGTGAGAGAAGAAAAACAAAAGGAAACCAGAATGGCAAAGGATAGAAAAGATTTCAATGGATCACGAATAACGAATAACGGATCACGAATAACGGACTGTAAAATTGGAGTCACTATTGATGTGCAATGGCCAAGCTTGTTTGGTCTTTTCTCGATATGTTCTCACAAATGCGTTGAAAAAGAAACAATCATTTGGGCAGGTGGTAGAACTCTGTAGGAGACATTGTTGTAGCAACTATTTAGCTCTAACCTCAGCGACTTTTCGGGTACAACGACACTTGAAAAAGTAGTTTATTCAGTTTCATTTCAGGGGTAAGAGTCGCTGACTCTAATATCCTTTGAACATACCTCCATTTGAAGTGAGATGTGAGTTATCAGTCGGACAAGAAGTTCGAAGTCGATTTTTTCCAAATCCATGTTTCGAAGGGTTGTGATTGTTTTAAAAGAAAATCTGCAGCGAAACCAATAATTCACAATCAAACTTCTCGTCAAAGTAATTTAACTGCCTGCTTTCCATTGTTATCAGGAATAAATAAGCACTTGTAAAATTTTCACAACTAAAAAATAAGTAACAGACTCCTCTAGCCAAGAGTTGTTAATGCTGAGGAAATGTACTTTTAGAGTTGTTTAGAGATTTAATGATATTTTGTCTGATTGCTGACATTGCATCATATCCCCTGTCATGCAAACGTCTGTAAAAATATGATCCCTTTTAGACACTGACCTAACTTCCGGATTCGGACAAAATCGTTCAAAATCAAACGATAACGCCCAAAATAAGACGAAAGAGTCCCAAGTCGGATGATATTGTCCAAAATGGGACGATAGTGTCCGAAAACAGACGATAGTGTCCGAAAACAGACGATAGTGTCCGAAAGCGAACGATAGCGTCTGAAAACGGACGATCGTGTCCTAAGTCGGACGGTAGTGTCCAAATTTAGACGATGAAGTTGGATAATGTCCTAAATCGGACGATAGTGTCAAAAACCAGACGATAGCGTCCAAAAATTGGACGAGAGCGTTAAAAGCCAGATAAAAGCGTACGAAATGAGACGAAAGGATCGAAAATTGGACAGAAGAGTCCAAGATACGATAAAATCTCGAATTTGGGTCGACACTAAGCCCCCATGGTAATCTGCAAAAAAGGCAGTTCTTAAAGATCCGGGAAGTGCAAGCAGGCTGTAGGTCTGGATTAATTATCACAGTTTCAAATTTGTCAGTAGCCCTTTCAGATAACTCAAGCATTAGAAAAATTGTTTCAGAAGAGTTCTTAAAAGAAACTTTTCAAAAAACCCTGTAAACGCACAGAAAACTGAGCAATCACCTTCCTGTAAGTGAATTGAGATACTGCTCCCACTCCATCTGTTTTTCAGACTCCTGACTGTCTGTCAACCATGCATTGCTTTTCTCTAGCCGTCTGTCTTTTGCCTCACTTTTACCCCTCCTGTACTTTTTCCATTTTGGTTCTGGTCTGTCTCTTCTACCAGAGACACCAGCTTTTTCTGCAACTTCATACCTGTGAATACAATATACTCTAGATCACAACTTCAAGGAAATTCTAACTTCATACCTGTGAATACAATATACTCTAGATTACAACTTCAACGACTATGACCTGCTTAGTAATTCTCCTATCTTGCTTCCACACTCATGCTTGAAAATCAGTTAAAAGAATATGGCTTCTAAAGAAGGTTTGTCCGTTCTTATAATCTGTTTGATAGATAATAAACTGAAATTGCGAGGACAAGTTCAGTTTTAAGCACGCTTAGGAGTTGGCTGATAATTGAAAAATCTTCCATCGGTGAGAAAGTATCTAAAAATTCACATAAGCCTTTCAAATCACTCTGTTGAAAAGAATTTGATTTCAAAAACTGTGTGAAAGGTGTTCAAGACCTTGTAACAAAGACAAATACGTAGTACTTTTTGTTATTGTCGCATAACGCGTACGACCTGGTGACACTCTTTGTCGAATAATCTTGTCCACAGTTAGTAGTCATTGTATAGTTATATATGAATAAAGGCCGATAGTTTCGAAAGAAACTGTTTGGGGCTGCGTCGGTGGGAGTAACGAAATAATTTGGATATATCAACAAAGTTGAAATGGTAAATTGGCCACCGTAACGTATAGTTATATAGTTCAGTATGTTTTGCGCTAATCATTTTCTGACCTAAACTATCAAATTATCGGAGTAAGTTCACAGACTGACCTTATGAGACTATGACTTAATTAAGAAACAAATGTTTCTTTCTATTCAGTAGTTTTCCTCACCCTGTTTTTTCAATTATTTCCTCAAGGTAAACCTCCTGAACAGGGTGGGTGAAACCAGGAATATCAGCCATTTTGCAATTATCTTGAAAAGGAACAAAATAGAATTACTACATTGCATGGAAATGAAAACTTTCACTACAGCTGTTTCCAATTCAATTCTCTCCCCTTCAAATGACAAACAGCAGAGTGTGTATTGATTCACTGCTATCTTTTGATATAAATTTCTCCATTATTTCACACGTCTCTTCATCACAACATATGTTACGTTATATTGTAACGTAACGTAACATAACGTAACATAACACAATGTTTTATTCAGGATACAATGATAACAAAATAAAAAAAATGAAAACATAAATAATAAAAATAAAAAATAAAAATAAAAAATAAAAATAAAAACATAAAATAACATAAAAATAAAACATAAAATAAAAATATAAAATATAAAATAAAATAAAAACATCTTGAAAAGGAAGACACAGAGGCTGGCTCTATGATGTTTCACCTTAAATGAGCTTGACAAGCCAATGAGTCAACCATTCTTCCCCTTATCTTCTCCCAAAGTCAATGGTTCATAGCTCATTTTTTAAGAGCATCACAAACTTAGCAAAGTCACAGGTTTAAATCCTGTTGAAGTCCTAAATATTAGCTTCAATGATCACTTAATCAGTTCCCTCTCTATTTAATCAAAATTGTTAAAACTGACTTTACTCTAGTGAGCTTCTCACCAAAATATGCCGAGAACATCTCTGAATTCAAAGTTGCACTCATGAGGATCAGTTTTAAATCTGGCCTGTGTAGAAAAAAACAAACAAACAAACAAACAACAAATTGAAATATATAATTCAATCCTAGGGTGGAAACCCTTAACAGGAATCTACATAAACAGACCAAGGATAAGACACAAATTCAATATGCAATAAATCTACCACAGCTCAAAGGATGTTTAAGTTGCAGAACCACTACAGTACAATGACAAATAAAATAAAGCAATAACAGTGAACAACATAAGCCACAATAGACAGACATTGATTTCATGTGAACATTCTTGTTAGTTTATTATGTGCATTGTTCATAAACTCAAATACATATCAAATATGTAGGATGTTAACAGATACAATTGACAAAACTTAAATCCTAATGTTACCTTTTTGATAAAAGATCTTTGACAATAATGATCAGGAAATCTGATAAAATATCCCTTTCATGAATCTCATCAAGAATGATGTGACTGCAACCAAGAAGCAATCTACAAAGGAACACGAAAATAATGAATGAGCTTGTTTTTCCATTTCTATGGTTGATATTAACGGTGAAAATCTTATGTTAGGCAATGAATAGAGAGGCGCTTCTCTTAACACAGCAACAATGACACAGGCAATTGCTCTCTTTTATATCTGCTACATTGACTGCAGCATTTGATGCCATCACTAACCAACAACTACAATTCCCTGTTAACCCAATATCATCCCCAAATCATACATTAAAGTAACAAGAATAAAGGAAATTAAACTAAAGAAGCTCTTGATTGTTAGACAAATTCTCCTTGTCAGCACCTTAGGAAATGTATTTAAGTAACATTATGGAGAATCAGGGCTTTGGTCTAGCAGCGCCCAGTGGCCCCTGGCATCTTACTTTTGCTCTTGGGCACTTTAGGAAGTTAGGTTTTTTCATAAAAAGCATATGCTGGGCACCCTGGATTCCACAGTTTCAGAGCATTGGGCTCTCTTCAATTTTTCTTAGAGCACAGCCTTGAAGAATAATGATGTTGGGGTGACAAGCCTTAATAACAGTAATAAGTTGTCACTCACGGATCAGACACCAGCCATCTGAGCAGCACTCCTGTTGTACAATAGAGAATAGAGCCTTGCTCTCGTGGAAGCTTGCTGGAAAATACATGAGGGAATTGCATTTATCATGTGGAGATTTTGTCAAAAACATTCAAGCAGTCAACAAACATAGTTATATCAATTTTCATGTAACACCTTGTTACCTTTCCAGTCTTATCTGGTAACCAACACTTCCATTTTCACCACAATTTTCACCTCTTTCTGATGCAACTCTTTCTGCCACCTGGTGAAGGAAAATAAAAACAATTCATTGTCGATCCTTTAATATTTTTTATCAAATTTCATGATTACTATTATACAATCATTATATATCACTACTGATTTAAGTAACTAAAGGCAATTAATAATACCCTCAGTAAATAAATTAGACAATTCTATCCTAATTCTGCATGGCTTCCACTTATTGGGAAGGAAAAAAAAAAATTTTGACAAAGCAAGGATGGCCCAGCAGGGAGAGTTCCTGTTCCTCCAACTTGGCTGGATTTGATTCTTAAATGTAGGCATCATGTGGGGGGAGGTTGTTGATGGATTTAGTTGCTCCAAGGGGTTTTTGTTCAGTTTATGATGGAGCACTGACTTTAAATATTCATAAAAAGAAAATTACTTTGATTAAAATCATGACTTACAGAGATAGTACTTATTCTCCTGGGCTGAGTACAAACAACTCGGCACGTTGATCCATAGCCTTTGTCAATAGCATCATCCAAGATAAACTGGGCAACCTAAACAAAAATCTCAGTAAATTAGGTTGCTGCAGGATGGTTAGTTAAAAATGTTAATCAAACATTTTATCAGTTAACAAACAAAATGGTCCAATTGAGCATTTCTTTAATCATTTTGATTAAGGCTTAAGTCTGCATGCATGTATGACAAACGCAATGGCAAAAGTAAAAATGGTAATTTATCAATCTACATTTTGGCTTTATTGTATTACATGTCAACTCTGATAAAACAAGTCAGGATCTGACTCAGATTGCTTATCATTTGTGTTTAAACATGGAATTGTTTTAAAAACTTCATCTTGGAGTTCATTTTGCATCCAGCAATTTTTTGATAGAGCAACTGCTTCAGTTTTTAGCATCTTGGCCTACTCTGTACAAAATCTAACTCTAAATCAGTACCAATCTTCTCATTAGTTCATTTAAGGTCTATTATTGCCTCTTTGGTATTTGTAAACCCAGGCTAGTATTACATCATTCTTGCAAAGTTTTTCCCCAACTTAATGTAATTCATCTCTAAACTAACAAAAATTTGCGATAAGAAGAAGTGTTACAGAAATTCTTACTAGCTCATTGGTCAGGAACCAATTGCAGTGAAAGTGTCAAAAATGAAAGACATGTTGTGTCAAGACACAGCTTTAGTCCACTGGTGAATAAAATCCCTGAAACCACTGAACTGTGGCCTGTGGTTTTCAGTTTTTATACAATCAATTAGAACATCCACTGTAAAATTGTAGTTGATTTGTTAAACAAGCACTGTCAGTGATACCTGAGTTGTTTTTCCACATCCTGTCTCCCCACTGATAACAATGACCTGCTCTGAGTTTAAGAGTTGAAGTAATTCCTGAAATAAAGAACATTTCAAATTGTATCATTATTTGTTGCACAATGATTCTAGTTTGTAATACATTATAAAAATGTATCATTTAGAGTGATGAAATGCACCTGCCTCTTTCTGTGCATAAGCTGGCAAACTTTTACGGAATTCCTATGAGAAACAAAAAAAAAAGAAACTCAAAATCATACTTTTTATCACAAAGTCTCAGTTCTAAGGAAAGGTTTTGTATCTTCTGTTCTTAAAGTTTGCCATCAGTTTCCCCTTTAACTGACAACAAGATGCTGATTAGTACAAATCAATTCTAAAGAACATTCTGATTATAATCATGGTGATATCAATACAGACCTGCATGGCCTTAAATCTTGAACTTTCTGATGAGAACCTTCTTTGCTGTTCTTCTCTTAACTGATGATCTAACATGGAATCTGGCTGCAAACACCTGCCCATATTAAAATGATGCTTGGAAGCTAATTGCCTTGTTTTTCTGTTCTCACCAGATGCCTTTGCCTGATCTGGGTTGGAAATATCTAACTTCAGTTGAATAAAGCTAATTCTCAAACTTTGATTCTAAGAGAAAATCTTTCATCCAATGTATTAAACATTTTAAAGACAATTAATGAGAAAAAAAAAGGAAAAACACATATCACAGAACTGGGTATTATAGGTGTACAGTGCTTTCTCAATCTCTTTTGCAATCCAAACTAAAATTACAGAGTAAAAGGAAATTGTTATAATTCAAATGTAATTATGGTAAAAATCTATCTACAATCAGAATTCCAAGTGAATCATAGTTCTGAGTTTCTTTAATTTCTATTCATTTTATGTCTAACAAAAACATGAAACATGCCGAGCAGATGCCTATTGAGATTGAACAATCAAATGTTTGATCCCAGCAATCAAATTTTGAGTGAGTCAGCCTGGCCAAGTGGTTTAACCCTTGAACTTGCATGAGGGACCAAGAGAGAATTTCTCCTTTTAATTATAATTTAGTATAATTTCAGAGCTGAGCAAAGAGTTTCCAGCAATCTGATTGCTTGAGCGGTTCCTTATGTGATGCTATATAAACCGCTCCACACGGTTTATATAAAATATTAATTAAAAATAAAATGTTAATAAATGTTACTAAAATGTTATCATTTTAGAAATTTCTCTGTTGTTCAGCTCTGAAATTATACTAAAACAATTATTCACCTCAGGTTCGGTGAATATTGTCGAATAATCCCCTCGACTTCGTCTCGGGGATTATTCGACGATATTCACCTTGCCTTCGGCGAATAATTGTTAAATATAGATTTATACAAGCCTAAAAGCAGAGCTCCCAAGTTCATAATATTAATGATAACATAAAAGATGTGCATTTTCCAAGACTCGCCTGAGACACCCCTCCCTTCCGAAAGTTCGTTTTGATAGTCTCCCCTACCCTACCCGTGCAATCTGAAGGCATGTACATACATACATATGTATGCTCACTCAGTCACGTGACAACCAAATGAAAAGGGATTGACCATATTCCATGGGTATGGGGCTCTGCCCCATGCGTGCAAAGCGCGCATGGGAGCCCTGCTATCAAAATAATATCAAGCAGACAAGTGATGGGAATAAAAAAAATAATAAAATAGGGCATTATCAGTTAATCCAATACCAAATTACCATATTAAGAACTGTATGGCAGACAGTGAGGAGGTGACAGATAAGATCTTGGGAGTGTCATTCTTAGACTACTGAATTTGCTTCTCACAAGTCATTAATTCACCTCCTCCTTCAGCACCACACTCTGTAACAGATACAACTCACTTCAAGTGAGCATTCACCTCTAATTCCTTTATTTGTTTATACAATGTCTTTAGTTAGCAAAGAGGTACTAGACATTACACATTGACATATTTGAAAAAAGCTGTACATAGCCCACCTTGATCCACATTGTCTAGCTCATCTTGCAGATGTTGTTCATTGTACTGTTCTTCTGTAAGAGCATCGTGCCAGTCTGGGCCAGCTGATGCTCCTTCCTCTGCTCTGTCACCGTTGCTTCTTTCACTTTGTCTGATTTCTCCAAGCAGCTGACTTATTCTCTTTTCATGGTGACTGTCCATTGTAATAAATGCACGCTGAAAAACAAAAGACATGAGAAGCACACATTATGTTAAGAATAGCAATTATAATTGGGACTGATGGAAAAACAGACTGAGTGACATATAAATTGGCTGAATCAAAGGACTACAGCATTACCAGACTGAAAGAGTAGGAAACATGCACAGTCTGTCAGGCAGACCAAAATACGGATTGACTGATCAGTTATCACACAAAAGACAAACAAAAGGTCAGTCCAGACCAAAATGCAGGACTGACGAACAGACAGAAAGATACACTCACTATTTGGAAAGTAAAACTGAGAGACAAACATGTAAAGATTCAAATCCCAGGAAAAATTGCTAAACCTGTTTCTGTTCCCTCTTCTGTTTTCCTCTATTTCTATACCACAAGCCAATCTGTTTTCCTGTCAGACCAGACGGGTGATGTCCACCTCTACCTCTTTTACCATGGCCACCTGAAAATTCAAATTTGTCACTGACAGAAATTCCTTCAAATGACTTACTTGGTAGACAAGGCATAAAAAAAGCTAAACTGACAACGAAACAAACACGACTAACTGGGAGGTGTTCAGTACAAATTATCCCTAAGATCTTCAATCAGAGTTCTGGAAAAATTCTTGCATGTAAAATCTGAGTTTCTGAAGATGATAGATGACATGCAGTGATGTGCATATACTTATTTAAAACCCATTATGCTCTGGCATTGTAATTGTAACAAGGCTTTCTTCACTGGTAAAACATCTGGGAGATGATGCCACTTGACAAAACGGTAAAATAATCAGTTTTTTCTCTTAGCTTTTAATATAGTTATGATGTTTTTTTGCTCTACGGCGGTTAACTCTACATTATCGCATTACTGGGTAATGGACAAAACACTGACCCTCCCCCCCCCCTTCCATGGACCTTCCAGATGAACTACTCACACGGACTACCCTAGAATGGACCACACCAGTCCTACTAAATTGTACATTGAATGAGTTCTATTGAAAGCACTGCTATTGATACACTTACGTTACATGCTCCTCCTTTATTTTCTCCAATACAATACACTTTTTGAGTTAGGGGTAACTATAAGTGGAGATATCAGGCTTACAAATTGGGGTACATTTTTTTCTAATGCTAGTGTCTTAAGTCGGAGACCACTGTTTAAATTCGGACACTAATGCCTAAAATCTGACACTAGTATCTAGAATCGGTGAGTAGTGTCTAAAATCGGACACTAGTGTCTAAATTTGGACATTTGTGTCTAAAACAGATCGCGTCATGGGATAAAAATATGAACCACAGATGTGTGACTTACCTCCTTTGTGCATTTTTGAGTCAACCTCAGTAATTATCAGCCTGGAAAATTGCTTTCTTGATAAATGAATTCCCGCTGCTCTCACAAAAAGCCCCATAGAAGTCTATCAAGTGTTAGTAAAGGTGAATTTGCGGCTCCATCTTCCGCCGTGTTTGATCACTGTTCGCCCCAGGCCCTCCTCAGGACTAAGGAAGTTCAGTCGGGCTAACTGTTAACCATAAGTTAATCAGATTTGACTTAATTTCAGTTGAATTTCATTACAACCTTTTTATTTTCGAAGATTAACAAACCTAGTTATGCCATTTTTAAATCTTTATGAATGGTAATATTATAAAGTATGACAGATCTACCAATTGAGACAACAAATAGTGAGTCTGAAGCAGGTTCAAGTCAAGCCAATAATTTACCTGTTTTTGTCGGCAATAAGCGTGAATTTGTGGAAAAACAGAAAGTAAAATGCAATGTGAATGGGAGAGACATTGTTGTATTTCACCACAATCAACGCTTCTATGCAATGGACCAACTTTGTTACCGTAAGTAATTTAAATGCGGTGGTGGCCTACATAATACCAGGCTAGGACAAAAAATAGTTTTTTTCCTTCATGATTTCCTTTTTTGGCCAATGATCAGGAAGCTGGCTATCCATATTCACATTGTTGACAAGAGTTTTTCGTTCTTCGTTTCATGGGGTTTTTATTTCAACAGCTTCTCTTTCAGGTTTTACCTGAGTTTGACAATCACAGGTAACATCCCTGATCCCTTACCTACCACCCCCATTTCCAATTAAGATTTTTTGAGGAGGTGGATGGATGGACAACATTGGGGTCATCCTCAGTGTAAAAACCTGACGATTTTTTCTTTGTTTCATGACGTATTGTTTTGCTGTACACTATTGTTTATGTTTTGTTGTCTTTGTTTTACGTCACTCGTGAGCTTCACAGGTTTTTACACCGAGGATGAGCCCAACATTGGTCTTTTTAAATTTCTAGGAGGGTTTTTACAAAAGTTTTCTTCCTAACGATGGATGGAAATATTTCTGCTCTTGGAAATTTTGCCTGTAAGGGTGTAAGCATGGAACCTGCAACTGTCCTGAACCTAACATTATATCAGAGAACTTCAAGCAACTACTCCTGTTTCTCTCATCTCACCAAATGGTGATACTACCTTAAGAGCAAATCAGGATTCATTAGGAATTCTTCACAAAATTTTTTTGTAAACTTTCCAAAAGGGAATCCTTAAATGGCCCGCTGTACTGCCAGTTAAGTAAACTAGTTCTGAATAGACTAGGACACAAATCATTTGGCCTGCTGAGTGTTAAAATTTATCACTGGTATTATTTGTTCAAGATGCTGGTGGCCCTTTGGACCAGGGAGACATTGAGGTGAGGCTATTGTTTTTGCCCATTGTTATTTGGAAAACATTTCAAAACTCTTCTGATTTAATGTCATGAGTTTCCTAAAGAAAAATTGATCTTTTGTTAAAAGGCTTGGTTCTAAATGAGATAGATCACTTTTAGGGCAATCAAGTGTCACTTTGATGCCATTGGCAAGCATTTTGTTTTAGGAGTAATCAGCAGTGACACTTTCATTACCCAATTGATACAAACTTAAGCTTAGAATTGCCATCATTAACCACGAACTTCACATTCCAGAAAACAGAAATCATAATTATAAACTAACTCAATAGGCCGTTTTACAGTTGTGTACTTAGTTGCCAAGTCTTTGATTTGGAGTGAGGCTGAAGGTGACCTTGTCATGATAGAGACCTGGATCTAGTCAGCATGATAACAAAGTGATTTACATTTGAGAGGCAGCAAGGTTTGTATCATGACAAGGTCACCCCTAACCTCACTCCCATTAAGAGGCTTGGCAACCAAGCACTCAACGGTTAAATGGACTATTGAATCTTCAATTGGAATGACTAAGGATCACTTCTTTACTTGTACAGAGAAAAACTGTGAAGTCTTGTTATGACAAAATAATTCTTTTTTACTCAATTTTAGGACATTGGAGGTAGATGGTGCATCATTTGTCCATATCACAAACAAAAGATAACGCTGGAGACAGGAGAGGGACTGCATTACTCAATTGATCCCTACAATTTAAAGAAGCCACCCGAGTTGTGCTCCAAGGGAGTGGTACAAAGAGTGCATCAAGTTCAAGTTATTGACAACAAACTTTACATCACCCTCTCAGATTCAAAGGAATACCTGCCATCTGATTATTTTTATTCAAAAAAAGTTGTAAAAAATAACTGAATGACAGCATTACATTTAATAATATATCATGTGTAAATGTCAAAACATAGAACACTCTTCATAATTTTCTGCCTTGTCTTGCATTAATGAAAATAAAGGTGCTGGCAGATTGTAGTCAATGTAATTGAAAATGTGACTTGGATATTTCTTAAAAACACCGAAACTGTACAAATACAATCTTACTCATATTAATAGCCCACATCAAATATCTTTGTACAAGAGCTGAGAGAAATGAGTCTGGTGCAGATATAAAAGCCTCCCTGGCAAAGTTCTGGAGAAAAATAATTTAAGAGAGGAACAAAGAGTTATTGATGTTTCCCTTGTTTTATTTGTCTTTTCTCTTCTTTGTATAAGTTACTACATCAAACAGGTCTTTGTGAACTTTGTTCTGACCAGCATACAAAGTAACTTAGTAAAGAACTGAACATATGATGTGACACAAAGCTTGTGAAGGGCATCTTTTCTTGTCCAGTGCGCCTTTGCAGGATTCCACTAAACCTCTGCTCTTTAATTTCCTAGAAGTGCAGTCAGACTGTTCTTTTTCCACAGCACTTTAATGAAACACTTCCTAAATTTAGTTGTAACTTCAGTCACACAGACTGTTCAGCAATTGAAGCACCATCACTGCACATATTCCAGGTAAATTTCAGATCAGCTGCCATCATCTGCACCAGTAGCATCGTCATCTTGCTCATTATCCTGCAATTTAAACAAAAAAGTAGCAATCTCCATAGAAAAGCCGTAAGTAACAATAACTCAATTTTCCCTTGACTTCATACCCCTGAAGTAAAACTTGCAAGTGATGGAATTTTTTCAAATTTTTCCCTTTTTGGCCTACCCTTAGGGGTTCAATTTAGAGAAAAAAAGGTTAGTCTCCATGCTCAAGACATGTAGCAGCACCTTATTACAGTAGAGACCATAACCATACATTGTGAGATATACTTAAATTAAGGGTGTGTTTAGGAGGTAATATTTACATCCAACTTGAAAGTACTAAACAATTATTGAATGAGATTTTTGTGATATCTGGAATAATCGAGGTCGAGGTAAGCGTTATCAGCTGAAGCCGAAGGTTGAGGCTGATAATACTAACCGAGACCTTGATTATTCTGGATATCACAAAAACCGAATCCAATAATTGTTTTATTATACATTGTCTTAAAGAAAATAACACCAAACGCATAATCACAGCAAACACAGTTTATTTACGAACACTTAAAAATGCACAACTGTGTGGTAAACAAATTTTCACCGTTTTTATAAAACAATCAAGTGCAGAAAAGTTAAATGCATTTCTAAAGAAAGTACCACTGAAGAAAACTGTCGATCTTTTAGTATTTTCCAAATCTTTATCTTCAAGTAATTTCTCAATTTCTCACTGGGTCGATGAAGTGAATCAAGAAGCCATTCTTACTTCGCTGTCCGTGAACTTGACATTGCTCCACCGGAAATCATGCATTGCATGTGCAACCTACAGATTATTCACTAATCTATAGGTACAGATTAGTGAATAATCTGTGGGTTGCACTGTTTCCAGAATAAACTGTGGGTGTTTAGCCAATGAGAAGACAAATGATGACTACAATGTATAATAATATTATTGACCTTCATTTCACGAACATCCAAATCCTCCCCATACTGTATTGCATTATCAATCTGAATGAGCACATTCATGATGGAATTTTCATCACTGAGGTTTAGAGGCACAAATGACACCATACTGTAATCATCAATCTGAAAATTTTACACACAAAAAATCGAGATCATTTTTAGATCTGCACAGCCACCTTCTCTGTCTGTTGGCCTCTGCTAAATTTAACCAAATGCCAAACATTCCACAGCCCCAGAAGACCCTGTTTCAATCTTATTTAGCATGTTACAAAGAATATATGAATCTTTACAAACTTAATTAAAATTTTTACTTCATTGCATAAAAAGCAAAGCCATTCTTTGAAGTGATACCAGTACTTTTAAAAATACTAGTTGTGTGAAAGTCACTCAACATTTAGAGATAAAATTATAGCTGTAATTCTTTTACAAAGGAAAGGTTTATGCTAAAAAGAAATTGAATAGAATCAGAAGAGTTCCCTATTGATCTTACTCTATCAGGAAAATTGGATGATAATACTGGACAATTTCAAAATTTATTGAAACTCAACAAATCAATTTGAGATCAGTTCCACATTCTTAATATGACCATGTCACCAACAGAGTGCTCATTCCTCTGCTAGAAAGACGGAGAAGGGCTTTGCTTGTGAGGAAATCCATGATTTAATCATGATCAAATTGTTTTATACTCTTAAATAGAGTTCTGGGTTATCTAAAGCCTCTCTTTATGCTAACCAGTTGTGCCAGTGCTTTATTAAGCCTCTTAAACCTCTTGTTTGTACTTGATTCAAGGTCTTCTACAAGATCTCGTGGATCTGGGTCCAGAAATCTGCAACAAAAACATTTTGTGTTAGGATCAGTTTGAATTATTTCTAAGCCAGGGAATAATTATATGCAGAGCTAACAGCTCACCTAAGTTCTTCACATCCTATAGAACATCACCTGAAGTCCTCCACACATCCATAGATACTAACAAAGTAGCAAACTAAGGTGGTTTTATGCCTGTTTATTCTTGAGAGAGCTACAGTCATATAACTTGTCAGCTGTATTGGACTTTTTCAGTCATTAAAATTAGAACAAACTAAAATGTTTACATATGAAAAGATTTCATGATTGCCTTGAACACCAACATGGCTTCCATTCTATTTTTTTGCCAATCAATGTGGCCACTGTGAGGCCATGTCAAAAACATCTAAAAGATTTATCCAGAAGTAAGTTAAGACTAAAAAAAAAAATTCAAAGAAGGATTGTAAATTTCTGCACTTTTAAAAGAATTCAAGACATCCTACAAACTTTGAACCCACAATAAGGGAAAACAGCAGTACTTAGTTCTTATTAACCGAGCGGGAGGTCTGTATGGGAGAATCTTGACCGAGGTCACCAGTACAGACCAAACGCAGTGAGGTCTGTACCAGCAACCGAGGTCAAGATTCTCCCATACAGACTGACCTAGCCCGGTAATAAGATGTTTATTATATGACTGTGTCTTACATGCCAATTTTTTATATTCTTTGTACCTTTTTTTTCTAGACTGGTCTAGATGCCGGTCTAGATGGAAAAATCTAGACCGCTTTCAATATCGATTTCAGCCAATCAAATTCGTGAATTCGGAAGTTCCCATATAATCTTGATGTCTAGGTTTCTGAATTGTGAGGATTTCCTGACTTCACACAGGTTAAATACAACACAGTTGACTCCCAAGAACTCAAACCCTTGCTAACTCCTAACAAAATTGATTTCCTCTGGATTTGCATTATAGAGGGGTGCACTGGGGTCTATTGGAAACTGTAAAACTGCAAAAAAAATTCTATCAAAACCAAAAACTGCATGCAAACCGTCTAAAGTGATAAATTTGCACATCTCAGTTGTCCAAATCCTAATCTACCAGCTACTGTGGTTACAAGTGGAGCAACATAGGTTTCTTGGCTATTCGAGATCAGCAGAGGCATATAACTGCTGCTCAGATCAAAGAGGAACCCCAATGTGAAAAACTGAAAAAACACATCAGATACCAAATTCAAGTACTCCTCAAAATTTTGGACGAAAACCAAAAACCACATGCTGAAAATGGAAGATGCGCAAAATGCAATGAACAACAAAACCAAAAAATGAAAGTTTTTAGCATAAAAACCGAAAAACTGATCTTAAAAAAATAACCAAAACCACAAAACCACAAACCCCAATCCCCCCCTCATCATACATTTACCGCTCCCTCAGTAACTTGAACCCTCAATAACTCCAGCCTCCCACTGACTCAAAGCAAATTTCCTTTCACTTCAAGTCATGCTCTATTCATTTAAGCCCCCCCATAGCTAGCTTAGACCAAGTCCAACCACGTCTGTCAATGTGTGACAAATCCAACCAAATAGTGTACAGCAGTCCAAAACATTTAATTTCTACAGTAATTTAGCTTCCATTTTCACTCAACTTCTCTTTCATTAAAGTTCATTAAAATGTAAATACTGTTTTTTTCCTTATTTCTAGTCCTTTGTTTTCAACCCCTAATACCTTGCCAATGAACTCCTTACAACTTACAGCTTTTAATCTATTAGCAGCTTTATCAATTTGAAAGTTCAAGTTACCGGGAGTCAACTGTACTCAAATAACCAAATCTTTTCAATGAAAAAAGTCCATAACTCACCTATCCACTTGTTTCATTTGCTTCTTGTTAAGCAAATCCATCTTACTCATAACATTAATGTGAGGAATCTCCAATTGAATCATTGCTGACAATGCAGTAAGAATTCCAGCAAAGAACTTGCTACAGTCCACCATAAACTGAGAATCAATCAGGAACACACCACATACCCTGAAGTCCCAATGGTTTAAGGTCTGTACCAATTGTCTCATCATAGGCATATGAGTGTAAAGTTCTATTTGGCCTGTTGTTTTAAAAGTCACAGTTCATCTTCAATAACAGATTTTAGTATATACTCAAACAGTGGATAGCGTTGAAGGCGCGCTCTGATTGGCTAGTCAAACTCCAAATATCATTTGCTATTTACCTCTGAGCAACTCAGGAAAAAATGGTGCCCCGGTTTGCATCCGTGACGGGCGAAGAAATCACTCAAATTAACGACGGTGGTGTATATTGTCTCACTGTTTTAGTATATACTAAAACAACTATTCACCTCAGTGTCCGTGGTTAGCAGTGGATATTTACTTTGCCACTTCGCGGCTTGGTAAATATCCACCACTAACCACCTCCACTTCGGTGAATAGTTGTTAACTATTCCTAGACTATTTAAAGTCACCTGCCTAGATTAATTTTAGCTTTAATAAATTATGGTGATGGATTATTATCAAAAATAATTATACCTGTGAGAGGTACATATTAATTTAATCATATGGATTAAATAATTGAGATGAAGTAAATCTTGCACTCTGATTCACTTTTACAAGTTGGTAGGACAGGCCTTCCTTGCCCTCTGGCAAATGCAAACTTTGATCCCATGAAAAATAAATCATAGCTGCCTTACATATTTTACAACTTCTGGGCAGTTTTTCTTTCAAGAGTAAAAATTTTCTCACAAGCAGACAATGTACAGACCTGGACAATCAAATAAGATGTAATCGTCATCGGCATCTCCCAGTTTTTCTTCCAACCAATCAAAATTCTGTACAAGGTACCTGCATAGAATAATAAAATTGAGAGAATCACATAGTCCACAATCACTATGTTTGTGTCACAGGGTTAAGTCTTATACACACCTCTACAATATTCAATGCCAAGAAAAAGATTGCACTATTAATTTTTCAAGAATCTTATTGAGTTTCAAGATCAGATCAGATTCAAGAAATTAAAGACTAATCACTCTTGCTAGAATCAATAGCATATAAATGTAAATCCCAAAATTGCAATCATTCCTTACTCCATACAAAAAACAAGTCCTCCATTTGGCCCAAGTCGCAAATCATCAGCTTCCATGACATCCTCTAATTCAACCAGCTCACGCACATCTGTAAAATACAAACATAAACTGCAACTTTGAAGACCTAGCCAAGATTAAGTTGATACTTTTCAGCTACTACTAAGAGATGTTTTCTTTACAACCTACACATCTGCAAAGTGACTTTGGCGAAAGCTTGAACTCCGGCAAACCTTTAAGCCAAGGATCCACTAAACAATTGCCTACTGCACCCCCCCGCCCCCCCAATAATCAGAGATTTCTAACACAGTTGTATTAAAACCAGATTTTTTAGTGAACATGATCCTTGGATAAAAAAGTGCTATCCAATGCATAATACTCCTTGGAATGTGGTCCTGTGGTTTGAAGTTGCTCCTGCATGATCAAACAAAACACCAGACAAAGGTTTTTCAACAGGAACACTGCATCAGTTTATGGCTCTGCAATTTATGGTTATGGTACAGGCCCTCCAAGTGTACTCTGTGTGATTTTGGTGTCCAAAGGTCATCAACAGGAATAAAGCACATCTGGTTGAATTATAGGTAGTGACTCCCCAGACAGTGTCATTTTGCAATAGAGCAAAAGTAACAACCTTCCCGTGAATCCTCTGGAGCCTCATTTATTTGGTAAGATGTGCTTTTATATTTGAATCCTGTAGTAAAGCTATTCGCAGTGTATGTCACAACAAAGCAGGTTAGTTAGAATGGGTGGTAAAACAGAGCACCTCTCAGGTCCATGCAATGGAATTTGAAAACTTTTGCTTCTTAAATGGGTAGGTATATGCAATTCACTCTTGCTGGTGCAAATTTCAGGGAGATCGGTTGACTTTTGAGGAATTGATTAGCTTTTGAGAGGCAATGGTTGGTGCTTGGGACCAGTTGAAGTGACCAGCCTTCTTTATTTGTCTACAGTAGCACAACACACAGTACAGACAAAGTTGAAAAAATAGCATTAAAATGACCAGAATTCAGAAGCGACAAGGCAGCTATGGAATAAAGGTAAGGAAACTTAACGCCTTCTATTTCTAGCTTTAAATATCCTTTTTTTTCTATTTTTTAATAATTTATCTTTTTTTGCAGCACTAACAAA